ACCTCCAAAATTTCTCAAAAAGCGTGAATATTAACCTTCAATTTTGATTTTTTTTTTCCGCCCGAAAATAAAAATTGTCGTAATTTTTACAATGGTCCCTAATACCCTCCAAAAGTCCAATTGGGTGGTTGGAACCATCCAATTTGTCTTTAAATGACCAATTTATCAGTTTACAATCTGCACCGATTTCAAGCCTACCACGAACATTTATGACAAAAAATTATGATTATATATGGTTCCAAACGACATTATATGACCCCGAGATGTATCACATAGTATTTCAAGACTCTTCGACACCGGGCCCTGAAACCTCCAAAATTTCTCAAAAAGCGTGGATATTAGCCTTCAATTTCGGAATTTTTGACTTTTTTTTGCCCGGAAATAAAAATTGTCGAAATTTTTACCATGGTCCCTAATACCGTCCGGGAGTCCAATTGTGTGTGTGGAACAATTCAATTTGATTTTAAACGGTCAATTTATCGATTTACAACTTGCACCGATTTACCGGTTTATAACAGCCAATTTAATTAACTTGTACCGAACCCGACTTGAACCGAAATTGACCCAAATCCGTTTTAACCCGTTAAAATCCGAATTTAACCCGACTTGTTACTAACCTGATGTAACACCCTAGAAATTCATTTCCTTTAAAAATACCTATTTTACTCTTTAAAATACGATTTAGGAATATCTAAGACATTACCGCCACCGTGAGAATAGCTAAGGCAATTATCAAAGACACACAGCGGAAGACTTATATCAAAACCATTCAAAACGAGTCAACTTAAAAGTCAACCAAACGAAAGTAAAGTTAAAACCAAAGTCAAACGAAGTCAAATAAAATCAACCTACAACTTGGAACCACTGAAGGCCCTTATCAAGACCAATTAAATTACGAAAACCTTTGCGTTAGTCTCATAAGCGTAACATAATATAATATTTGAAAGCAATAAACCGCATCACAACTAATAGAAACTAGCATGATTCGCTCTTCACTCACCCCATCATGAATATGCTTCAACACCTGAAAAGATTATCTCCACTTGTCTCCACTACTCTCCATTAAAAATGGGTCATCATAGGGCCAAGATAAAGACATGGCCAAACACACAAACACACACAATCAGCAAAGCTGAGTACATAAGCGTAATTAAACACACTAACATGCTTTCACCTATCAACACACACTTACCTCAATGCACCTGTTTACAAGCACACACAACAATCAACAAGACACTTTAACTAGACACTAAGTAGTTCATTTAGCGTTGATTACGCATCGAATGGGATTTCAACTATACCTCCCCCAATAAATTGAGGTTAACTGACACGGGAGCTAACCGTGCTAGCGACAAACCTGTGCCACACATAGGTGGCAGAATTCTAGCGCATAATAATAATAAAAAGGAATATACATCGTCCTGTACTCTGTTAGAAGTTATGATCAAATATAAAGTCACATAACTCCCCCCATATGTTCATACTCAAGGTATATACGTTCCAAGAGTTTTGGTGCGTAATCTCTTTCACTTTACGTTATTTACATATTATTAGACTTGGTGATGACTCTCAAAGCACAACTATTCAATCATCAATAATTATTCAATCAACAAACATACCAACTTAATTCTTGAATATTTAGTGACCACATAATATTTAATGTTGAACCCTTTTTAATTCTACCTCAGTGTCAAAGACACGTTAAAACGCATAAAGCGCCAAAAATCCTATCCCTCGGTGTTAAAAACACCTTAAGTGCACAAAGGCACCAACACATACAATTTATTCCTCGTGTACATAGACACTTATATAGCTCCTTCCTCATGCTTAAAGCATCAATAAAAAATATATGAACCATAATAAAATTCCTTTTCAATATTCCAAACATAATTAAACAATTAGTTTGATTAAACATGCTCTCTATCAAGCCATAAATAAACATGTGGTTCATAAATAATATTCCAAACTATAAATTTCCATTCCAAACCTAGCATGATACTATTTTTAATTAATCAAACACATTTAGCATGCTACTTCATCAACATAACTATGCTAAGTACGCGAACGTACCTCAATAAAGCCCTTAAAGTGGCCGAAAACACTACAACAATTCCCGAATCAAGTCTCCTACATAAAGGGACAATAATACTAAATTAATTACCCTTGTATACACAATTTCCATCAACTTAAAATCACTTTAGACTACTTAAAATAATCTGAAAATTTATTTTAAAACCCCTAATTAAACTCTTCTTTATTGGGTAATTAAACCCTTTTCATAAAACCATCAAAAGTAGTACTTTGGGCAAAAATTCCAGCATTATAGTTTAATTAAAAACTCATCAAAACTCCATAAAGATTCAATCTTTAAGCTTGATTAATACTTCCAATCAATGGGTATATAAAACCCCCAAATTAATTGCAAGTTAGAGCCCTAAAAATCAATACTTTAATAATAAAAACCCTAACTTTCAATGCTTTATAAAATCTGAAATTAAAACACTTCACACTCTAAAATTTACAATCTTTAATTATCAAAACATAATTATAAAACATACTAATCATATTTAAACCATTAAAATCAAAAACCCAAATTATAAATTATTGGAACAATAATTAAAACAAGAGGAGAGAGAAGGGAGGAAGAAAGGTGGTGCGGCGGTGCAGTTTGGGCGACCAGCGGCAGGTCGCCGGCGACGAGGCTGGCCGGACAGCAGGGGGTGGGGCTGCTTTTTTTTTACGGGAAGGATGAAGGGGAAAGAAAAGAAAGAAGGAAAAGAAAAAGAAATAAAAGAAAAGAAAATTTAAGGAAAATAAGATAAAGAAAATAAAGAGAAAAGAAAAGTAAGACTAACCTCTTGTGTGGGAAAATTTTTTTGGGGATTGAAGGAGTATATATAGAGTAGGGTAGATTTAAGATATTTGGGCTTCATAAAAGATGATAGGAGGGAGAAACAATTGGCCCAAATAAATAAAATAATGATTGGGCTTGTTATATATATATATATATATATATATATATATATATATATATATATATATATATATATATATATATATATATATATATAAAATTGTAATTTGGTAGAGTGAGTATTAATCAAATTAAAAACCCAATTTATTTAAATCCCATAATTATAACAAGGTGACCCCAAAATATAATTTATAAATATGTAAATAATTTATAAAATACAATAAAAATACGGGGTATTACATTCTACCCCCCTTAAAAGAAGTTTCGTCCTCGAAACTTAGGTACGAAAACTTTAAAAACTCGTTTAAAGGCACATAAATAATTAAAATCTCGAAAACTTTTCTTAATATTTTTAGTTGCTGTACTTTTGTGATACTTTCTTTCTACCTCATCTATTCATTCACACGCAAACTAGTGTGTAAGATAACAACTTTATTAACAACTTACACAAAATAATGTGTAAACTATTAGGCTATTTAACGAACTCACACTACTATTAGTGTAATATTCAACTTTGGAAAGAAATTTACACATCCTTGTGTGTAAGGCCAGCAAAAGAAAGTAGCATCATCCTCAAATTTAAGAGTTAAATATAGTATATATTTGTTGTATGGTTAAAGAAGATATTTATCTAAACTATAGTTCTCTAGTATATTGCCATATATATTATAGTCAAAGAAAATAAAAATGATAGTTATCTATTTATAGTTAGTTGAACCTGAATATGACCTGACTTGGAAATGACCCGATTTGATTGTAACCTGCAAATTATTGACTTGAACATAACTCGACTTGAATCCGAGAATGACCCGACTTGGAAATGACCCAACCTGATTTTAACCCGCAAATTATTGACTTGAACCGAACTCGACTTGAACCCGAGAATGACCCGACTTGAAAATGACCCGACCTTATTATAATCCGCAAATTATTGACTTGAACCGAACCCGACTCAAACCCGAGAATGACCCGACCTGATTCTAACCCGCAAATTATTGACTTAAACCAAACCCGTCTTGAACCCGAGAATTACCCTAACCCGTTTTTAACCCGTGAAAATCCGAATTAAACCTGACCTATTGTTCACCCGACTCGAATGAAACTCGACCTGCTATTAACCCGACCCAAACCCGATAAGAAGTATGATGCAACGTGACCCGACGTGACCTGACTCAAGCATGACCCAACCCAAACCCAACCCCTATAGGTTATGGAATTAATCTGAATTGACCCGACTAAAGTTAACCCGACCCACCCTTACCCAACCCAAAATCAACTCGTTTACACTTTATATCTCTAATTATATTTCTACAATTGTTTTTAAAGTTTCAGTTAACTTTTATTTTTTTTAAGGAAAAGTTTGAGTTAACTTGTCTTTATTAATGTTTATTTACTCATTTATCTTCATTAATAATGTTTATTTACTTGTTTGCCTTCATTAATAATTATTTACTTATTTGCTCTCGTTAATGTTAACTGCATTTTTTTTTTAAATTTTTAGAATGGTGTGCGAACATTTATATCCCTAAAAATATTTATTTATCTCAATTCCCTCATTAATACTATCAGCAACAACATTCATTGTGATATTTATAATGCCAAATCGAAAGCACTCTCAGACGTGGATTGCTCTGGCACGCGCATTGTGTGCCCCAGTAAAAGTGAAAATTTCAAAAATGTGATATTATGAAAATATTAATTGAGATATCTACAAAAATAACGCAAGACATTTTTTTTACCCAATATATATATCAATAAAGATGGTAAAATTAATTAAAACTTTATTCAGCGCAACATAATATATAAAGTCTCTCGCCTCTCCTCTCCTCTCCTCCTTTCTTCTAGGATTTATCCACAATCTTGGCCATTTAGGTCAGAAATAGTAGAAATTAGACTATTTCCGATCATTTTCTCTTAATTTTATTTAGTTTTGCAATTTAGGTTAAAATAAATCTACACAAGTAGTTTAGATATTCGTCTGTCTCCCTATGGTGAATTTTAGTTTTTGTTAGTTTAGATGTCCGTTTATGTTTAGGGTTTGTTTGTATGTTAGTGTTTATCAAAAGCGTAATCATCTTTTTCCCAGTTGTAAGTTCTTTCTTTGGCAAAGATTTGTTCGGGATCGCAACGGTTGTCAAGTTTTCAAATGCGTTCTGGCGTATTAGATGCGAATCATCCTTATGGCTATAACAAATCGTTAGGCAGTTTCTCTGAAAAAGTTGTATATTCCAGCGATGTGCGCGAGAGACGTACCAATGTGCAAGATCTTTTCAACAATCGTAGCTTTGATGAAGGAAACCCTAATTTGATTTAATTTTATGTATTTGTTAAGTTATATTTTTTCATTTTTTTTTTCCACTTTTAACTTCTTATATGTAGTCCGGCCTAAGGGATATGTATAACATTTTCCTCAAATATATTATAACAAAAGTTTGAAATAAAATATTATGTATGTACTCATGATTTGTACCAACTCCTCTACGAGTTTTCTTTCTACATATTAAAAAAAAAATGTAGATACATCACAAATCTAATTTAATAGCAAGCCAAAGGAACAACTCGTTCATTTCTCAACACTTGTTGTTGAACTACCAATACAGATCCTGATGTATTAAAATCAGCTAATACTAAAAAATCACCAATTAGTCCTAGTTCGGAATTTTCACTCCATTCTGATAATTCTTCTAATAAAGTAAGATTAATTCCATTTTCCCTTCCCACAATCCAAAGATCTATCGAAGCACTTGTGTTCAATGATTGTATAGCCGAAACCGTTTCAAAACCATTGTTCACAACTACTTCCCTATACACAACTTTTTCATTCCTCTCATTTTTTACCCAAAACCAAGTTATCACCCCATCATCCATTTTCCTTTCCGACTTAATATCTCCTCTTTGTTCATTTGCCAAGAATCGAACCACAATCAATGATACATCTGGATGTTCAACCATGTGGCTTGCTAACGCAAGAGCCTCACGAGCATCAGGCCCTCCAAGAAACAATAGAACAAATTGGCGACGAGTGCATTGATTCGAACGACACGAGAATGTCTCCCATGTAGCAGCATTCTTACATGCGTAAATTCCCACGGAGCAAGGTGCATGAATTAGTGTATTAGCATTAGTAGATTGTACACCAGGCCTAAGTATGGCACTCGAAAAATCATTCCCATCTTTAATGCATTTCTTGTGGAAGGGTAAAATAATAAATCTTACCTTGTTCAACAAGGCACTCTCACAAATGTCTTGGTACATGGTCCGATTAGGGGTAACACTAGTAAATAAATTCATAGTAATGCAATTCATACGATCCTTCTCGTATAGCTTGATGGACTTGTGGATGGCGACATTGTTGTTGTCCCAGTACTCGCCAATCTCCTTCATGTGGTCGATGAACATAGGGGTAGCTCGCCCTAAGAGTTCGATAAGGTGGATTACGAAAATTGTAAATGGGTTATTCGTTGTTGGATTTACGAAGTCCAAGAGGCTAAATAGGCTAGCCATGCTTTCTTGGTCGTAAATGCAGGCCATCAATCGAAGTTTAGACACATCTGTTGTGTGTTGAATGGTTCTTTTCTTGTTGGTCATATATGGTTTTGTCCGATCGTAAAGATAGTTGATTATAGGGCAGAATATCATTGTTTCTAAGATTGACAAAGTCATCAACAATTTGAAAGATGGCGTCTTTAAGATCTGCATGCATATAAAATTAAATCAATTATAAAAATCTATGTATGTATGTAAAGCTATTCAAAAAAAAAAAAAAATTGTATATATATTAAGAATACTACTATGCAGCACAGTTGTCATGTGAAATGAGCTAGATCAGTAATGAGCACAATTGGCATATAATGCCACGAGTTTGAATATTATTATCTCTCAAAAAGTATACATTCAATGTACAAGTACTAACCTTATTAAGTGTTAAATGAGCTAATTAAACAAAGTAATACTCCTTTCTAGAGGTGTCAATTTGTATGGTCTGGATCGGGTTTAGTGTGATCGAGTTGGGCTAGGTCTATTTTAAACTTAAGTTTTGCTAAATTATTGTGTGAAACGTATGTGAGTCCAAATCTGAGTCAAATATTTTTCTGATCGTTTTCAAATTGAATTGGATTGAAAGAGGTTTTAAGAATTAAATAATCAATCTAATAACTAATTCACCCTATCAATTAATTCATCTCATCCTTGTCAAACAACACAATTGCACCTAGGGGTGTGCAAAAAAGGACCGATATCGGAAACCGGAACGGGATCGGACCATTGAATTCTGAGTTGGTCTTCAATCCACACAAATTGATGGTTCCGGGTTTCCGGTCCGGTCCAGGTAAAAACCTGAATGGACTGGAAAATGTTTTTATTTTTTTTATTTTATCGGTTAAGCTTTTAAATTTTATGTTTAATTTTCCAAAAAGTTTATGTACAAAACATGAAATTTATAAACTCTAGGTGCAAAATAGGAAAGCACGTAAACAAAAACAAGACGTTAAAAAATGATGTGCATATGAAGATATTTAAATGCAAAAAAAAGAAAAGAAAATAGTATGACGGGTCCATTCCGTTCCAAAACCGCTCCAGAATTAACAGGTCTAGACCGAAACCTGGGCCGGTTGATTACGGTCCGGTCCCCGATCCTCAAAAATAGGGGATTCCGGGTTCCAGTCAATTCCGGTTCCGATATGGTCCGGTTTTGGACCAGTCCACAACCCTATTTGCACCAGCCTATCCACAAATCTACCACCACCATCGATCGATCGACATAGAATTCACACTACAACACCATTATCTCCTTCTCTATTGTCAAGTATATTCCCAATTTTCATGTAATGAGGATGTTGACAGTTCCCACGTGGGTTTTGGTAATGTCGGTGAAAGTATTCATAGTTTCAGTGAGAGTGAGTAGTTAGGCCGTTAGGGTACATGAAAAAACGATGGTGGCCGATGGTGGTGGTAGTCTGGTAGATCTTGGAGATAAGAAAGAAAAAGGGTATTTTATATACCACTCAAAAGTAAAAATGCACTTTTGAGTGGTATTGTAAATACACATAACATTGAAGATAAATTTGATGCATGTTTACAAATTCATTTAAAAGATAATTATACCAATAAATCATTATAAGTATGACCTTGGTGATAAGAAAGAAAAAAAATCAATACACTATAGCAATATTATAAGTTTGCATCAAACTCAAATGAGATAATGTCTTAGAATTGTACGTACCTTATAATCCACGTAATGAAGAAAGAGAAAAAATTTTGATTGAGCTTTAAGGTTGAATACGAAACCCAAAATAAGAGAATCTCTATGCGGGATATTCATAAATCGAGCCGACACAAAAATGGTAGCAAACTTAACAAAAAAGGGTAGAACAGCCATAGTAAAGCAAGGAACTAAGAAAGACCAACATTTAATCATTCCAGAGACGTCCATTGTAAGGCCAATAGTAGCATATGCAAATGGCATTAAAATGTTATCCGTAACAGCCTCAGCATGATGTGTAATGCTTTCTCCTATCAGGGGGCCATCTGGTATTACTAGCCCAAGAAAAAAACATCCGATTCCAATTGAAGATCCGAATAGATCAGTGATAAATCCGAACACAAAAACTCCTAACAAAATAGCAATAATATATGTTTGCTCCACAGATTTTACTCTAGGAGTATGATTATTAATCCATTGCATCACTTGTGGTATAGCATAGAGTAAAAAGCCACTAACAAAAAAACTTGTGACCATGTAATACAACACATAAATCCTCCTAGCGTTGGCTTGCATCGAGGCTTCGAAGGAAACAAGATGTGATATACCCATAAGTTCAATTAAGGTTGCCATTGATAATACCATACGCCCCATTTCTGATTTTAAAAGTTGCATGTCTCTTAGAATGCAATAAATATTTGAAAATGATGAGACAATCATAGTTGAAGTAACAGCTGCAATGGTAGATTCTTTTTGGAACATTGGACTGTCTATGTAGTGTTTAATGCTTAATGCTACTATAAACATGATGGTATGAGGGATTATTACACTAACAATTGCAATCACCCAATCCTTCTTTTCAGCCTTGTTAACCGTCGAAGGTCCATTTTCACCCCCGTCACAAACATAAAAAAAGAAAACCCTAAGATCCCGATATTTTTTATTACAAAGTACCAGCTCTTTGAAGATAAATTCTTCCCCAAGATATTATTGCGACCTAAAACTGACGGTCCAAAAATTATGCCCGCCTACACACACAAAATACACAATTTTCTTATTAGTTTTTTCTATCATTCATGATTAACAAGTTTGTGGACCGGAAAATGACTTGTGCCATTACTTTAACATTTATAATTGGATAAAAAAAAAAAAAAGGACATTTTGTGAGAAACTACCCTTTAAAGCATTTTTTTGCGAGAAACTACCTTATAAAAAAAATGTTGTAAAAAACTACCTTATAAAAGCTAAATGTTGTAAGATACTACCCTTGGTCGGAAAGTGAGAGTTGACTTAATTTTTCCGCCGTTGACCTAGTCATGTGCCGGTCACGTGACGTTTAATTAAATGAATTAAATGTCATGTGACCGGCACATGACTAGGTCAACGCCGGAAAAATTTAGTCAACTCTCACTTTCCGACCAAGGGGTAGAATCTTACAACATTTAGCTTTTATAAGTTAGTTTATTACAACATTTTTTTTATAAGGTAGTTTCTCGCAAAAAAAATTGCTTTAAAAGATAGTTTCTCACAAAATGTCCAAAAAAAAAGATTGATTAATTTTTTTTCTTTTTAATTTATTTTATTTTCCGTTTATCAATTTATGATACTTATCATTATAACTGTTGATATACAATTTTGGTTTAAATTTTGTGTAATTATATATATATATATATATATATATATATATATATATTTTTTTTTTTTTTTTTTTTTTGGGTACCATATATATTCATTGTATTGAGCTCCCTAATTTATAAAAACTGTTATAGACAAGTGAGATCCTTTTAGATTTGTACAATGTATACTTTTAGAATATCAAGTTATTAAAATTTTAAAATTGGAAATCTTTATATTTTAAGGCATATCTTGGGTTTTATCACGGTTTCACTTATTCTACTTTTTTTTAAAAAAAAAAAAATCTCCAATTTTCTTATTTTCTTTGCAAATAGAATGTGTTTGGGTCCAATTTAGTCCAATTGGGCCTAGGCATTAAATGATCCAATTAAAAGCCCAAGGTCAAGGTCCATCTCTCCAATTGTGCTAAAGTCAAAGATCAGTCCTCAAGGCAAGCTAATTGGGCTAAGGCCCAACTTCTCCATATATGCAAAGGTATAAAAGCCATCAATATTACATTTGTACATTCATTCAAGCAAAGCCTCAAGCAATTAATTCTCTTGCATAGTGTTCTCTTTCTACACACTGTACTGACTTTAGCATCGGAGGGGCCTTCCTCGGCAACACCCCCGAGGCTAGTTTACGTGTGTTTACTGTGCAGGAAACCTTCGGCCCAACATCACTTGGACCGAATCCAGTCTTCTCCACTTCATCGGACCTTCGACAAGGTCCCATTGTTTTCACCCGAAACAATTTGGCGCCGTCTGTGGGGAAGACTTTCAAAAATCTTTAAGCCAAATTTCTAACCAAGATCATCTTGCAATTATCTTAGTAGCAATGGCTAAGAACCGCAAGAGCAAAGGCCTCCGTCAAGGAGCAAGCGAAAAGCCTAAAACCCCTACACCATCACCCTCGCCGGACCAGAACTCTCCCAAGGGTGCCAGCTCGGGGGGAGGATCATACAGGGAGGATTCCCTTTCTCCCGTAATTCATAACTCTCATCATAGGCCGAGTCACTCTCGGTCTAGCAGGGGTGAGTCCGATCATAGGACACATTCAGTGCCCCAAAGCCAACCATCGACTGTGCGCTCTCATTCCCATACTCGGCCGAGGACCCCTTTGACGGGGCCCAGCTCGGAGGAGGTGGCAAGAGCGCTGGCAGTGCTCATGGAGGCAATGAGGGCACAAAATATGCCACCACCTCGTGATCGAACTCCTCCGCATACCCGGCATCAACGGAGGAAGCTAGACCATGATGGTGGGAAGCTTCCTTCCTTCCGGGAACTGGAAGAGTGGGAAGAGGATACCTGGAAAACTGAAAAAGAGAGGAAAAAGAACCCTCAATTTTTCAAAGGATCCTCAACCTCCCGACCAGAAACGCATAAGAGCAGCAGCTCAGCTTCTCGGCCAGAATCTACTCACCGAGAACAACCTGAGACTGTTCGCTGAAGCGTCCTCGGCCGACTCGGCGGCAAGGAACCGAGCGTGCACAGTCGCCTCTCGTTCCCTGCGGCCGAGGCCCAGACTTCCCAGCCAGGGACGAAAACCACTCCTACCTCTCTAAAAGGGCGGAGCGCGGTCCCTTCGGCCAGGAACAAGGGCAAGGCCGTTATGCTACCCGCCAGTTCGCCATTCGAGCAATGGATACTGGAAGAGCACGTGCCCACGGTTAAAATACCGTCGCACATCACATATGACGGGACCTCGGATTCGAAGGACCACGTGGCCTCGTATGAGACTTATATGCATCTTTGCCCCAGATCCGAAGCGACTTGGTGCAAATATTTCCCAACCACTCTCAAGGGGGTCGCGCAAGCGTGGATCTCCAAGGGAGTAAAGCAAGGCTCCATAACAGGGTGGGATGATCTGTCCTCCAAATTTAGAAGCAAGTTTTCCACGGCAAACCGCCGAGAGAAGACTACTGCAGAATTCATGAGTCTGCAACAGGGGGAAACCGAAAGCCTCCGAGACTATCAGACCCGTTTCAGTAACGAGTCATCCAGCGTCTCTCAGCTGGACCAGGGGCTAGCCGTTTTTGCAATGCAGAATGGCCTTCAGCCCGGGAAGTTCCTAGACTTCATGGTCATGCATACCCCGCAGACCTTGGAGGAAGCTCTGAATGCCTCGGATAAGTTCATCCGAGCCGAAGAATGGAACAAAGCGAAAACCCAACCTCAATTTGGGGAAGGGAAACAAAAACAAATACCCTTGTCTGAAGGCCAAGGCCATAAGGCAAAGGGAAAGTCAAAGGCCTCGGAGCAATCTTCGGCCAGCGACCCAAAGAAGGAAAAATCTGCCTCATACACAGGCAGATACGAGTCCTACACTCCGCTCTCTCTTCCACGCGCCAAAATTTACAGCGTGACGAAGGAGGAGCAGAGTTACCGAAAGCCGAGACCACTCCCAGAGTGGTATCAGCGAAAAAATAAAAATCAGTGGTGCGAGTTCCACGAATCTCCGGGACACAACACTGAGGAGTGTATCCAACTGAAGGACCAGATAGAGGACATGGTCCGGAAGGGATACTTGAAAAAATACATCGCGGATCACCGCGAGAAAAAAGAGTCCGAGAAGTCAGCAAAGGACTCTCGGCAAGACCTCGACTTCCCCCGGAAGAACAGTAAAAAGCCATAGGGGAAATTCTCTCCGATCAATGTTATCTCGGGAGGAATATGCTCTCGGAGGGAGCACAAGCGACACCTTAGGGCTTTGACTCACCAGGTGAACAACGCTGACATTCAGTCTCCCCAATCGCCGGTGCCGAACATGACGTTCACAGCCGCCGACTGCCGGGGGGTAACGTTCCCTCGCGAGGATCCGTTGGTGATCATCGCCACGGTGGCCAACCACGACGTCAGTAAGGTCCTTGTTGACGGTGGCAGCGGAGCAAACATTCTGTTCCGAAAGGCCTACAATCAAATCAAGCTGAAGCCCAAGCACCTTACGCCGGTACCCTACCCGGTATCCGGGTTCAACGGGGCTTCAACTTATCCATATGGGAAGGTGACACTTCCTATCACCATCGGCTGCGATGAGGCATCCAGGAACGTCATGATTGAATTTTTGGTCATTGACGCTCCTTCAGTGTACAACGTGATTTTGGGGAGACCCATAATTCATGAGATCCAAGGGGTCGTCTCAACTTATCATCAGCTGATGATTTACGTCTCAGACGCTGGCTTCCCCGAAAGGATACAGGGCAACCAAAAGGACGCCCGAAGGTGCAACTACCTCAAGCCATCCAGTAGTCGCCCAGATGACGACAAGGATGAGGAGGATAAAGAAAAAGAAAGAGAGCCAAGCACAAAAAAGCCGAAAGGCCTAAGTGCTTCGGCCCAAGGATCTGTACCCAGAGATAAAGGGCCCGAAAGGGAAAAGGCTAGCTCTTCAGCTGAACAGCAAGACTTAGAGAGCCAGCCGAAGAACAAAAAGACTGGGACACCTGCTGACATAGGCAGCAGGCCAGATTATGAAGAGTCCAGTCCATCAGCAATGGACATTGACCAACAGACTGAAACAGTTGAGTTGGCCGAAGGAGACGTTGAGAAATGTGTAACAATCGGGATGGACCTTGATCCGAACACCCGTTGTGAACTTATTCAGCTCCTTCGGGACAACAGAGATGTGTTTGCTTTCTCGGCAGCTGATATGCCCGGGATAAGTCCAGACCTCATCTCCCATAAGCTTAATGTTGACCCAACGTGTCGACCAATTAAGCAAAAGAAGCGGAATTACTCCGCTAATAAGAACCGAGACATCGCAGCCGAGGTCAAAAAATTGCTGGAGGCAGGCTTCATCGAGCCTTGCCAATATCCAGAATGGCTGGCAAATGTGGTGATGGTTCAGAAGGCCAATGGTACCTGGAGGATGTGCGTTGACTTCACGGACCTAAATAAGGCTTGTCCGAAGGATTTCTATCCCTTGCCGAGGATCGATCAGCTAGTCGATTCGACAAGTGGCCATGCCTTGCTTAGTTTCATGGACGCATTCTCGGGGTATCATCAGATCTTCATGCACCCCGACGATCGAGCAAAGACGGCATTCGTCACGAACGCTGGGGTGTACAATTACAAAACGATGCCCTTCGGATTGAAAAATGCGGGGGCAACCTATCAAAGGCTGGTGGATCAAGTTTTCGCCGATCAAAATGGCCGAAACATGGAAGTCTTTGTCGACGATTCGATCGTCAAAAG